TGTTGACCCTAGCACTGATGAGACAATATCAAATGGTGTTGAAGATAGTAAGCATAGAAATGATGAATTTCCTTATAAATCTGTGAGTATTATTGTCATCTCTATGTGTATAGAGAGAGAGAGAGTTAGTTTTTTTTTTTATGAGAATTATACTATTAAACATTTTTGCTTTTTATTCATTTATGATTCTTGTTCTAAGTACTGTCACATCTCTGTTATTGACTGATTTCCACAACTTATATTGATAGCATGTCTATGTTTTTCTCTATTTGGTCACAGATATCATTCATATGGATGTTGGAACTTTGGAGTAAGTGAAAATCTTACTATTGTGCCTTTTCAGGCTGATGCTGCTAGAAGAGATAAAACTACCAAAAGACATGTGCCAGTGAGTGAGAATATCTATGGTGGAATGACCAAGGCTGAGATCTCGGAAGCTCGTGAAAAAGAGCTCCTGTTGGCTCAGCAGGACAGAGCTGTGGAGCGAACCAAAGAAAAGAAGAATAGCTTGGAGTCCTATATTTATGAGATGAGGAATAAGGTACCTTCTTGTATTCATGAGATGTAAAAATATGGCTGGTTTGTTATTCAGGGTACATTATTTATGCAGTCATCCAGTTCATCTCCTGTGATATATAGTTCTGCTTGTCATGTGGTCATTATTACTGAATACTGAGAGGTCAGTCTTTCGTTCTTCTTAACAGTAAGACTTGTAAGTTTGTCAAACAAGACTCTCTGTTGTGTAGTTAGTAAAGAACTGGTTTTTGTGACCGTGTGTAGAGTGCCAAGCTGTGGATGCCATGAGTTGTACACCTATACCTTTCAAACATTTTTGCCTTTTTTTCCACACTAGTCGTATCCAAGCATTTAAAATTTATGCTTCTATTTTCTTGACGGATTTTCATTTAAATGTAATTGCTTATATGGATAGCTCTTTGGCACTTATCGGAGCTTTGCAAGTGAGCAAGAGAGGGAGGGCATATCTAGGAGCCTGCAAGAGACTGAAGAGTGGCTTTATGAGGATGGTGATGATGAAACTGAGGCAGCTTACTCAGAAAAACTAGAAGATATAAAGAAGGTTTAATTTTGCTTCTCCAATGTCGTTGCTTGTCTTGCTATACCCGTGCATTTTTATTTTTTTTTATCATTGTCATAATATATATTGTAATTCCTGTAGCTTGTGGACCCGATTGAGAATCGGTATAAGATGAAGCAGCAAGAGTACAAGCTACAAGAGATCTCTTGAAGTGCATTGCGGATTATCGCATGTCTGCGAGTTCCCTTCTTCCCCAGGATAAAGAATCGGTACACTAAAACACAAGCCATTAGATATTAGAGTGAGTCTGCTCATAAACCCATGTTTCAAGTAACATGACTTTGTTGTTTCAGATCATCAATGAGTGCAACAAGGCAGAGCAGTGGCTGAGAGAGAATTTACAGCAACAAGATTCCTTGCCTAAGGACAACGACCCAATTATATGGTCAAATGATATTATAAGCAAGGCAGAGGATTTGAAATTGTATGATGCTTTATCTCTTTGTTTCCGTGTTTGATATTCACAATTTTCCGGGTGCATGAGTCAAAGGCACAAAAGTAAAATCAATAGGTTGAGGGGTTGAGGGATAAACGGCATTTTGGGTCATTTTTTCATTGTAGCCCAATAAATGCAGGTGCATTAAAGTCATTTCCTCAGACTGCATAGAAAATTTGTGTCAGTGGAAAAATAACCTAAATCTCTTAAACTTAGCGTCTTAAGTAAAATAGTGAAAACTCAATGTTTAGGCTGCTAATCTCCAAGCGATCTAGCTCACCTACATGTGGGCGTGATTTTATTTCAAATTATGATCAATGTTACATTTTTGTGGCTGTCAGGTTGTGCCAACAGGTGCTGGGATCCAAGGGTTCTTCAACAACTCCAGAGGACAAGGGCAGAGATAAGCCAGATGCTTCCATTCACCCTTGATGAATCTCTTACATTGATAAGCAAAGTCATATATTTTCATTACTCTCCTGACTAATTTTTTTCCCCCTTTCTTCTCTGGTTCTTGTCTTTCTTTTCTGGTAAAGTGAATAGGTTCAAGTAGGTGAAGTCACTAGATTATATGGGTCAAATATTTGTTTGTGTTCTTCAACTAATGTTTTCTCATTTCTGTTGGCATATTAGAATTGTTCACTGTAGCTTTTGCTGATGTCCATCCAACTCAAACCAGTAGCGCAAATTCTTGGTGACAAAGTTATCAATAAAATTGTGCTTATACTAAATAATAATTATATGTAGTGAGTACTTGAGGCAAATATTTTTTTTTATTGGGTTACAAGGCCACGGCTAGAGACTCTGCAAAGGAAAACAGAATAGGTCATATTAGAGAGTAGTAATTTTCTATACCTAAATGGTGGGTCTTTTAAGATCCTAATAACTAAATTCTCATGAAAAGTGTGTTGAGCGAGCGAGTCCGCATATTCATTTGCTTTCTTATACACGTAGTTAAAGGAGACTACCCAATTTTGCATGATAAGATTTCGATTGTCTCTGATAGAGCTAATAAGGGGGTGTGATGTTGAGAGTGCTCATTTTTTGAGGGTGAGGTTTCAAGTCACAGTAGAACTTGTGATTTTTTTCCTTTTAGCAAAAATTAGGGCCTTCAAGAATACCTAATAGTTCAGCTGCAATGTTTGGATGGTATTGGAGTTTGAGGTATTTGGTGAAACTTTTTTTATCCAATTTACACGTCTTGTTCTAGATAAGACCACTGCAAGACACAACTTTATTTTGGCGAACAAAGTCATCAACGTCCAGTCTCACTCAAGACAGATTGTGGTGGGCAAATATTATATAATGTATCACACCTTCCTGCTTCGATTGTTCCATAGCAGCCCCATAATGATAGAAATGATTCTCCTTCAAATGTCATGGAATGCTTATCTTCAAAGTTCAGTTTATTTTTGGATTCCACTATCTTTCAAAATTTTTATTTATCAAATAAAATCGTACATGTTGAGGAGCAGATAAGAATTCAATTATACAAATGTTAAATAATTTGAAAATTTTGAGTTTTTTTACAGCGTCGCTCATAATTATACAACCAAATGGAAATCTTTTTCTCTCGTTATGACGGCAATGAATGTCTTGTATCTTCTTTAAAATCCTTAAAGGCCTCATCCTTCATTAAAATGACATGTTCTATAAAATTATCGTTTACATTGACTCCTTGAGTCTCTTATACCCATTTAAAATGAGTTTTCCCATAATTTCTTCTATTAATACAATCAAGAACATCAAAGATCTTCTTGTGCAAAATTGAATTGTCATTTTTGACTATATTTTTAGAGAGATAAAAATGCATTGATTCATTTATTCATTAAGCATGACGTTAGTTTTTTTATATCAATTTTTTTATCCACTTTTTGGGTGTAAAAACTTAAGCTCTAACATAACTAAATTTTGCTTCCTTGCATAGTTCTATGACCTTCAATTCCAAAATAATAAAAAATAAAAAATTGCTGAGTGCTTTCAGAAGAATTGAACTTATTTCATGGGAGGGTTTAAATTCTAGTTTAATCCTTTGTGGACGAATTATTTATTTATTTCGTCATAAATGTATCGTATCGATTTGGCACTTTATGAAAGAATAGGATATTTTTTAATATGATCTCAAACATAAATATCTTATTTTGTTTTTCCAATATTTATAAATGTCTATTAATATCCTAGAAATGACATTAATTGTAAAATGATATAAAGGTATATTGGCAATGAATTTATAAAAAAATTATTGGCAATGTTTATTTGTAGAAGGATAAATTTTAAAAACACATTGATGAGAAAACAATTTGAAAAAAAAAAATCTATGTGAATTGATTATTTCCCTCCCGGTCAAAACATAGCATGCATGCATATAGGTAAGGTCTCCAGCATATCGGTTAACATAGTAAAACAGAATGAACATGATTTTAAAATTAAATTCATATGATTAGTAACTCCCTCTAAGTTATATATAATTCTATATCCAATAAAAAGGGGAAAATATATCTTATAATTTTTCTCAATTTTAAATTAAATTCTTCTAATTTATTTTATTTTAATTGAGTTTTTATAGTTTGATCAATTAAATTTTTTAGCCCCTAAACTAAATCCTTAATTTTTCTTTAAAAAACGAAATTAAAAATTTTTATATTTTTATTTCATGATGATATAACTTTAACATTAATTATATAATTTTTATGACTCAATTTATGTAATTAGATTGTTTTTTAAATATTTTTATGCTTATAAAGTTTTCATAAAAAATAAATGTAAATGCAAATAGTGTATTAAATCTAATTTTATTTTTTCATTTTCACTAAAAGTATTAAATTAGATTTTCTATAAACTCCACAAATATTTTTGTTTGGGAAATTTAATAGTTCATTATTAATTTTAACTTTCAAGGATTGATATATTTAATAAATCAAACTATAAGGAGTTAATTAAAATAAAATAAACTATAGAAACTTGATTCAAAGCTAAAAAAAACTGAAGACTTGTAGATTAATTTTTTCAATAAAAAAAATGTCAATACTGAGAACATGAAAGTAAAGTTCACTAAATGGCCAAAAATAGCGCTCTCAATGACGCTTGTGGCGTGTTAACAATTCTAAAGAATGTTCTACCGAATGAAAACACAACTCTAAACCATATAGGACCTTATATACCTGTGCTTTGAGCTCATACTTCACATTCTAAACTAAATCACAAGTCAAAAACCAAAACCAATTAGATTTACCACCTCTTTGAACACAATTCTACATTCCATACACTCTTGTCGTGGATCAGGATATCATTGCTATTTGGACAAAATCCTATTGATGATCAACTTTCTGGCTCTGATGTCAAATCCTAGCCTGCCTGTTCTTGAATTGCTAAAGAGCAATTAATCTGTGCAAAGAAAATTTGTTATTATCAGGAAATTAAACATCCCAGACGTCCACATCTGGAATTATACTTGCACGTTAAGAAATTTCAGACAATCAAGGGCCTTGGTCCATCTTTGCCGGCCACTGGTGACTTGCAGGACCACACTACAGAATTTACAGAACCACTTGGGTAGCTCTAGAAGAACTTGGCAAATGGAATTTCGTTGACATCAGACAAATGGCCAACGTGACACGGACTTGCTTGTGAGAATTTTATCTCGGTAACTTCATGCAACAAGAGCCCTGAAAGAGTTCCTTAACGTGATGATGATTAACTAGCTCTGTTTTTCAATTTCCTCAACACATGACATAAGAAGAACCCAGTGAGTGGTATTTGAACCAAACCGTGCCATGAGATCTGGGTAACGTACAACAAGACGTGGGAAAGCCAGACAGAACCGACGCCTTTACACCAAGATTCAGGTAGTTTTCTTCTTGCCACTGGTTTTCTTTTTGACTTTTTGAATCCTGATCCACTTTCCTGCAAAATTCAAACTCATTCAGAGACAGATCCACCTCGCATATACAGCAATCACTAGAGGACGCAATCCATACTTACCCTCCGATAATGCCTATAAGCAGCTCGGCCTGTTAACTCCTGCCCATCTTTGGCGACATAGACCTGCAATTGATAGAGGATCAAGATCCCATGTATTGTGCCAAACTACGCTTTGAACTAATAGTCATATATTTAAGCCGTTTACTTCACAAATTTCAATTCATGGTAAGACAAATAACTACAAGACAAATGCAAGTCAGCAGCGTTTGCTTTATCGCTATTATAAGTTGATACAGTGATGACAGTCTAATATACTATACAAGCCTTCAAAATTTAACATTTTAACCTTCATCGAACAAAAAAAATTGACTGTGTTTGGCCCAGAAAAGGGAAAAACTTTCACCGAACAACATCATTTGGACATGGAGAAGTTTGCTGGCAGTAATAAAACATTAAAACCAACAACATGCAGTGAGCATGACTATCAGAGCTAAAACTAGAATAGAAACCCAGCACTGCGTATTCAAGTGCATTGTAATAAAAGTAATATATCATCCTAAATGCAACAAAAGCAGCAAAATCATAGTAACAAATCTAGATGCTCCTAATGACAAAAACGGTAACATAACTAATTAATCATTATATGGATGTTGGCATATACAAAGGTAACTTAAGGGCAATGTATTGTACTAGAAAGTATTTCCAAGGATCAAATCATACAGCAATATTTCCACCAAACAAAAATCATGTGCGATAATCTTACATCTCATTATATCCATTAGTATACTTAACAGCATACAAGAAGACTTTTCTTCACACGGAAATTATAAAGGAACCAATTTTTTTAATCATTCAGTAGACAACATTTATGGCCGGGAAGTGCCATCAGTCAAGCGAATAAGTTCAACTAGTTGAACATATTAAAATGTCAAACAAAATATGAAGGTATGAGTCTATACTCACCTTTCTTCCACCTGATCCTGTAAACCAGTGGCCCACTGATTTACTGTTTGCTTGAACACGTCTTCTGCTTGCATCTTTTGGCATGTTGGCACAGTTCTGTGGTTCCACCCAATTTGCAGAAGCATGCAAGATTTCTGAAGAATTTGGCAAGTTTGCTTTACTTTTTCCTTTTGACATAGTTTTCGCGTTACTTTTTTTTGTTGCTTTCCTCTCAGAAGATTCTCCACCAAAAGAAGAATTAATTTTCGGAGCCACCCAGCCCCCAGAAGCATGGAAAGGTTCTTCAACAGTAACTTCTTTTGGTTTGGTTCTTCCCCTAGTCGAGCTTTTCTCCAAGTAACCATTACAAGCTTCCTTCTTTTTGGAACCTTCATTGTTAAATTGTCCCCTGAAATCAAAATAAACCCATGGTGAATCATAACCTGCAGAAATTATTCTCGTTTTTAAAGCTCATATCAAAAGACGTTGTTGGTCAGATAAAAAGTTAAGAGTTTACATGTAATCAATATGTGATGCATTAGGTTGGTGATTCACTTTGTCAACACCTAGTGGATAAAAATTGAACAGGCGACTGCGAACTAATTTCCTGATTCTTGGATCCTTGTGGAAAAAATATTGATGAGCTGGAGGAAGTGGATAAGCTGAATTCCATATTTGTTCATCCCTTTGACAGCTAGTGGACTCAAACAAGCTCTCATAGTGAATTGCAGATACTGATGTTTCCTTTTCTTTGTCCTTTGCAGAACGGAAGTATTCTTCACAAACCTCATTCAGTGCAGGTGTTGGAATTGAAAAACTCTTCACCGGAGAGAAATCTTTCCATAGATCCTCGCTTTGGTGCATCTGAAATGATGCTTTTCTATCAAAAGAAGTTACAAATTCGTTTGGCTTACATGATGGTTCCTTGAAGCATGGATCAACCTTGCGGCCACCACTAACATCTTCACTTACAGGGTCATCATCATCATCGTCAGAATCAGAATCAAGCAACTGGAATTTGCGAAGTGGACTAGCTGTCAACTTTGGAAACATCAACCCACTCTGGCCCATCTCCAATGTAGCAGATCCTAGGATACCTGAAGTTTTTTTCATTTTTCTTTCTTTGCGGTTGCCAGATGAATGAGTAGTTAAAACTCCAGATCCATTCAATGAAATTTTGGAGCTGCTACACAAAGGCTGATTCCATGTTGGTGGGCGTGCTTGAACTGATACGAAAGAAACAAAGTAAATTTAGTGACAAATAAGGCATACGCAAATCAAAATATGATTTGAAATGTGTATACACAAAAGAGAAATTATAATGCAAGGACTGAAATATGGGATTTATTAAAACAGATCCATTAATAGATGTTTCAGTAGATAGGGTTTGGTATTTGACTGTACAAAAAGGTGATGATAATTTATATGGCTGCATCCCTTGATGACCTCGTTTATTATAAACAACTAGAGAGACCCAATTACTAGAACCAACTAAGTAGTTCTTAAATCATCCATTCTGGTGTCTCAAAACTATCACTCACCTTTTCACCATCTGCTTAATATGATTTTCTTAGTATCCATCTTGCAGTCAGAAATTGTGGCATTGAATCTAAATCCTACCATATCTTAAAAATCTAACCCCTAACCAAAATAATTAAATCCCAAATCAAAGCAAATAGAATTTCCAACCCTCCCCCCCCCCTCTCTTCCTCCTGGGAAGGCTAATAAGTTCAGTCAGAAACAGCTGTTAATTCAGTGAGATTTGTTTTCAATATTTTCTCCTTCCGAGTCTCATGGTACTCCTCCTGACTATCTAATAAGATTGCTAAATGCACAACAAAGTACAAACCCAGTCCAATAAAGGGAACTTCCCTTTTTGAAAAACATTATTACGAAATCCAATATAAGAAGATTAGATAGAGGATGCAAGCTTGTTACACTGAAGGTCTTCCTCATCAGAGAATTCCTCGATATCATCATCGCCGTCACAACCCGATCGTAGCCCTTCCTGCCTCTGGATGGGCGGCGGCGACCCATCACCTGGTCCACGTCGTAGCCGCTTCAGAATCCGAGGTGGTGGGTCTGGAGCCATATCCGGATCGGACTCGACCACATCGGGGCCGAAGCATTCCTTATCCTCCACGTGTGCAGAAGCACGGGGAAGACTGAGCGGAGAGCGAGAGTTTGATTCATCGACATTGTGATCCAAATCAAGACCGAGAGAGAAAGATGGAGCTTCACAATCTGCCATGGTAGCAGAATTCCACGGAATGGGAAGTGAAAGATGAAATGTAAACGAAAGATCTGACGAGCTGGGTTTTGAATTTGAGGGGGAAATGGAGGGAATTGATGAAAGTAAAATTATTTGGCGGGTCGGTGGACGAGGGGTTTGTCCGTTTGAGTGAAAGTAAAACAAGGGTTATCCCTGCCTAGCCACGTCATCCAGATCAGCCAGTCATTGACCAAGTCACCGGCCACATGGCATGACACATCATCACTCAACCCAGTCATTTGCCACATGGATAAACATGCCATCATAAGACCTAGTTGTCATCCAAGTTACCAAATATTCACATCATCCTACAAAATCAGTTATCATCTCAATCACTAACCACGTATTTAAGTATGTCCTGAAGCAGATCCAATCACTTGCGACATGGCTCACCATGCCATCCAACGAACTGAGTCATTGTCCTAGTCACCAGCCACAAGGAAAGCCACACCGTCATGCCCACAATCATTGTCCAAGTCATCGGCCACAAGGCTTGACACGTCATTCAATGGACTAGTCATCATTGTCCCAGTTGTCTGACACATGTCTAGCCACATCATCTAGTGGATCCAATCATTGTCCTAGTCACACCCAACATGGCCCAACACATCATACTACTCACAGTCATTGTCCAAGTCACTTGCCACGTGGCTAAACATGTCATCCCAATAATGGTTTTCTTCCAAGTCACTAGCCATATGGTACAATACATCATCCTACTTACCCAATTAGTGGCCACATCTCTCCAACCTAGTAATTGTCCAAGTCATCAAACACATGCTTGGACATGTCATCCCATAGACCCATTCACCACGCACATGCACAAAAACATCATTTTGTTAACCCAATCATCATCCTAGTCAATTGCCACATGGCCTAACAAGTCATACTTTTGTCTTGTCAGCTACAACATGGCCGCCCAATCATCATCCAAGTCACTGACCACTTGCCTAGCCATGCCACCCAGGTAAAACAGTCATTATCCTAAAGGCACACCATATTTAGCGATATGATCTACGTAATCCAACTTGACTTGGTTAAGCACGAATCCATGAATGTGCCTACGATTAGCCCAATATAAGATCTGTGTTACAAAAAATTGTTGCTTGTTTTGAGAAGGTCACTAATAGATTTGTGGAAGCTCAATCATATAAGTTATATTTATTTCAATCAATAATTTTACTTTGCTCTCTTCATTTTTGTTACTCCCTCTGTTTTAAATTATAACTTATAAGAAACTTTTAGACAAAATATCACATATCAATAAACATCATTAAATACACTTAACAGCCTTATCTTTCCAAAACAAAAATGTAAAGTTTCAAAAATACTAACCATTTAATATATTAAAAAGAGAAGAGACAAAAATTAATTATAAAGAGAGAAAAATAATATTAAAATTGGTACATTTAATAAAATTTTAATCTACTCAAAGTGTCTTATATTTTGAGACTGAAAAACTTCTTCAAAAGTGCCCTATAATTTAAAAAGAGAAAGTATTTAATAATATTAATTCAATCAATAAATTTGAAAAAATAGTAATACTTTTTCCTTATGAAAGAAAATTTATATTTATATTTACGGACCATAATAAAAAATTAAAATTAAGAAAAAAGAATGGAAATTATAATTTAGGAGATAAAAAATATATCTTTTTTCTTATATTGTAAAATGCATTGGGTGATACTGATTGTTGTTTGAACTTTGAAGGTAAATTTATTCCCTAATACCTGGCAACCATATAAAAAAGAATTTAAAAAACGACGAAAATCAAATTAGAATCAAAAGAAAGGGGAAACCACATTAGATCAACCAAAACAAAATACAATAAGAAAAGAAAAATAAAAAAAGAATTTCAATGGCTCAAATTGCAATTAATTTTGCTGCGCCAATTATCAAAATACCCTTGCCCTTTTTTTTAAAAAAAAAAAAAAAGATGCCCTTATCAAGGCCGAAATTCTGGCAACAATGCAGTGGTCAACAACCAATCAAATATGCCAAGGGTCATGGGTGAATTTGAATTCTTGGCCCTTTGATTCCACAAAATGATAAAAAAATCATTGAACCAACAAATACTTTAACATATATAGTGCAAAATTATATATATATATATATATATATATATATGATAACTATCATTTCCAAATATTTTTACCTGTTGTTGCATATCTTGGACATACTGTTGTATACATCTAAACAATTATTTGTATATATTTAAATATAACTTGTTTGTACATAAAAAAAGTTATCAATTTTTTGAAATTAAATTTGTTCATTTAACATTAACAAGTTATAAATATTATGTTAAATAAAAATGTGTGTTATAAATTTATTTTTAAGAATTTTCACAGGTTTTTGTTAATTATAAATATCTTGTTGTGTATATATGAACAATTACTTGCACATATTCGAACACCACTGTTCATACATAAAAGAAAAAGTTGTCAAAACCCAGTTTATTTTATTTTTAACAACTTATTTTTTCAATGTTTACAAGTTATCAATATTATGTTAACTAAAACTATATGTTATGAAACAAAATACAATAAGAAAGAGAAAAAAAGCCACAGATAATGATTTCAAAAATGAAATCAACAGTGAGTATTTTGACAAAAATAAAAATAAAAAATGTAGATGGTAGCATGGCAAATTGACCATCAAGCTATAACAAAAAAATTTATTTACCAAAATACTATATTTTTAAAAATATTCATCAAGATACTACAAACTAAAAATCAATCCAATAGATATCAAGTCTCAAAATTTCTTTTATGTCAGACATAAATTAAACTTAGCTTCCATTACACCGAGCTTTGCACTATTAGGGAGTGTTTGGATGGAGGGGCTCTCCCCTCCCCTCCCCTCATTTGGTTAGGAGGAGGGGAGCCCCTCTCCTCCTCTCTCTTCCAAAACCTCCCTTCCAAATTGGGGGGAGCTCCCTTTCCCCTCCTCCCCTCCCCTCCCCTCCCCTTTTCTCCTCTTGAATCAAACAGGCTCTTAGGGTAACAAATCAAACGTCAATCTCCTCTCCCTTCCCCCAAAACACCCCGCCCTCCAAAAAAACCAACACACACTGTTTCATTTTTTTTTATCTGTTAAATGTTACTCCTTCCCCTCCTCATGTGTATATATGATAAATGTAATATGAATTAGTCAAATAAAAAAATATTTGTTGTGAAAATAGAGATTGAGAAGAGGAAAAAAGAGAAAAACCTACAATAAAAGAATTAAAAGCTTTCTTATTTTTGTATATTGAATACAATTGAGAAACCTTCTATTTATATATATAGATGTAATTGATTAAATGAAATAAAATATACAAAATAATGACAATAACTGAAACATGTTGGAGTAACCAAAAGACATAGACATACAAAAAATCCTCTAATATTCATTAACACTCACTCTTCTATATTGAGATATTATGCTTCATTGAAAATGCCATTCCATGAAGACCATTCCATGAAGAAGCATTGACACAAAGCTCTTTCAATGAGAATTTAACATATTTATATGTTTAGAAATTGAACTCGAGATTAGTAATTAAATTAATATAATCTCTTATCAGTTGAGCTACATGCTCGTTAGTATCATCTTCATTTTTTTCACTTATTGTTTTTAATATATAGATTAAGAAATACAAACTTTGTATTAAAATATTTTCCATTCTGAGTTTTTAAGAATAATTGTCATTTAAAATTTCAATAAATATTAATTATTTTTGTTCAGTTTTACCCTTTAATAATGATAAAAGTAAAAATAAATTAAAGTTTCTTAAACCGTATTTACACACATAACCTTAATGGTGTGTTTAATTTGAGGGAAGGGAAAATCCTGAGATTTTTCACGAGTTTCAAAAAATTGAAGAAGTAGGGTTCAAAGCTTTTAATTAATTTTCATTACTCTTTTGTCTTACACTCACTCTTTATTGTCCATTGAACTTGTTAAAATTTCAAACTCCGTGAAACAAACTAATTTTATAAAATAACCAACCCAATAGCAATTGAACACTATACTTAAGTAAAAGCTTGAAAGTTAATTCTATGAAGTAAATTACTGAAAGACAAACACTAACTCTAAAGTTGTATCATTGCACTTGTTCATTATCCTTATCATCTTCTACAGTCAGTTCAGGCAAAATAATAAGCTAGTCTTGCTCCAGGAAAACCATGATTAGAGCCAGTAATTCAGATGAGCCAGGCTCAATTCGAGATGGTCTGAGTATTCAAAAATTTTTTAAATTAATTTTTTTAAATTAATTTTAATTTTTAAATAATTTGTTCAGTATAAAATATTATTTTAACTTTAAAAGAATAAAATAAAAAATAATAACTTATCAACTTGATACTCAAGTAACTCTGTTATTGTTTTGTTGTATTATATGTAATTTATTTATAAATGTTTTCTTTACTTGTAAATTAATGTCTTAGCCGTTTAAATATTGCTCTTATCATGATCATATATAAATATTTTATATATTGTAATTAAATTATATTTTTTTAATTAACATTAAGTTGATCTCAATTTAATCACAGTTAAATGACTAACTTAAAATTATTATCCTGATTAGTTTAAAGTTTTTAATAACTTTTGGGTAAAATGTACTTTTTGTTTTTAAGAATATGAAAAAAATAATCATCATTATATTATATAAAATAAAATCATTTAATTATGAGTGAAATATTATTTTTTTAATTTTTTTATATTGTTTAACCTTTACATATAAGTAGAGTTGTCAATTAGGCCCGAATCCATTGGGCCAGCCCTTTTAAGCTTGAAAGTAACTAAGGTCGGGCTGTTATTTTGGAAGAAAAAATGGTAATTCAGGCTTAAAAGAGTCAGCTCTTTTAAGCCCGAAAATAAAAGGGCCGGCCCTTTTAAGCCATTTTATTATTTTTTTTAAAAAATTATAATATAAAAAAATAAAAGATTAAATATATAACTCAAAGAAATGAACATATTAAATGCATTCATACATCCCTTATTTATTTATTAAGATTTAGCTGATAATATTAGCTAAGTTTAATTTTTATTGGTATTAACTTTGATGTTGCTATTTGATATCAGACCTAAATATTTTAG